CCTGCAGCAGCAACAGGTGGAGCGGCGCTCCACATCCAGGATGTGCTCCTGCACCTGCGGGCTGCGGGGGTCCAGGCCGCTGTCGTAGCCCAGGTCGAAGAAGAGTAGGTTTCGGAGGTAGTGGGCATTGAAGCCGTTGGGGTCATAGTAGCGACGGGGTCTTGCAGGAACTCGGCCAGTTTGTCAGCGCCCGAGAGCTTCCACGTGAGGGGCACCACCGGCCCGAAGTAGTTGGAAGGAGGACTCGAACAGGCGAGCGGGGTCGCGGAGCACCGTGATGAAGGTGGCGTTGGGCCCGGCACCAGGCCGCGCACCTCGTCGTAGTGGAAGCGCATGTGGTTGCAGATGAGTTGAAGCAAGCCCCGGGCCGGTAGTCCCTGCACCAGGCTGCGGGCAAAGAAGGTCGGGTAGTCGAAATCGTTGCGGCCGTTCGGGGAAGGCGAACTTGAGCCTGTGCTCTGGCCGAAGCGGGAAGAGTATGTTGAGGAGGGTGCTGCTGGCCGTCTGTGTGCGTCTTCAAGAACACGATGTTGTGCCGCGGCTGACACTCTCCCGCTGAGCTGTTGGCTCGGGTCACTGCCTCTGGCTCAACCAGGGGTGGAGAGCAGGACGCTGCAGCCTCTGGGGGTCCTGCCGGGGACAGAGAGATGGGGAGAGCCTCAGGGGCCTGCTGGGGGCCCTCAGGACTCTGGTAGCTAGAGAGGGAGATTGTTTGGGACAGTGGTGGCAAAGGAGCTAGGACAGTGGGACCTGTGGGGCTGAGTCCAGGATGGGTGCCTGGATGGGTGGTTTGGCCTCTCTGGCCTCAGTTCCTCCTCTGTGAAATGGGGACAATAACAGGCTCTGTTCATGGTATTGTGAGGATGACACACACAGGCTCCCGTCTCATTCTGGCCACTGTGTTTGCTTGTATCATGAATCAGTATCAGCTTGGGCCACAGTAAATTGCCATATTTTTTTTTTTTTTTTGAGACAGAGTCTTACTCTGTCACCAGGAGCCAGGCTGGATGGTGAGATTTTAGCTCACTGCAACCTCCGCCTCCCAGGTTCAAGCAATTCTCCTGCCTCAGTTTCTGGAGTAGCTGGGATTACAGACGCACACCACCACACCCAGCTATTTTGTATTTTTAGTGGAGACAGGTTTCACTATGTTGGCCAGGATGGTCCTTGATCTCTTGACCTCGTGATCCACCCGCCTTGGCCTCCCAAAGTGCTGGGATTACAGGTGTGAGCCACTGCGCCCGGGCAAGAAATTGCCATTTTATAGGACAAAATGGTCAGTTTTTGTAGAAATTTGCGGTTTTCTCTATTTCAACCTAATATCATCAACCACTGGTATTGCACCAGCTACAGGCTGTGTAGGGTCTATGCAGAGCAGCCCCATGAGGAGGCGGGAGAGCCTGGTTCTCAGGAGCTGGGCCTGGAGTCAGGCAGACCCCAGTTTGAATCCACGCCCATGGACAGGTCGCGCCCGACTGTGGCCCCACTGGAGTCTCAGATGATGCTACTCCGAGCCCTGTATACCAGACAGTGTTACCTGATTCTCATGCCCCATGAGGAAGGCTCTGTTGTTTGTTTGCTTTGTTTTGTTTTGTTTTTTTGAACAGAGTCTCACTCTGTTTGCCTAGGCTGGAATGCAGTGGCGCAATCTTGGCTCACTGCAACCTCTGCCTCCTGGGTCCAAGCGATTCTCCTGCCCAGCCTCCCGAGTAGCTGGGATTACAGACAAACCATACCCAGCTAATTTTTGTATTTTTAGTAGAGACAGGGTTTCATCATGTTGGCTAGGCTGGTCTTGAACTCCTGACCTCAGGTGATCTGCCCACCTCAGCCTCTCAAAGTGCTAGGATTACAGGTGTGAGTCACCGCTTCTAGCCGAAAGGCTCTGTTATTATTCCCACTTCACAGATGGGTACATCAGGTTCAGGGTTACATGGTAAGTTCTGCCATCAGTGGAATTTCTGTCTGGCAAAGCATGGTGCAGGGTGCAGAGTGGCTGCCCAAGATCACGGGGGCAGGCCCTGTGGTAATTATGGGGCCCCATGGGTGGGGCGCCATCCCTCCCCCCACCATACCCATCATCTGCCCAGCTGGACCACTCACGTGGGGGCCAGGCCGGCGTGCAGCGGGGGCACAACATAGGAAGTACAGCAGCAGCAGGAAACTGGTGAAGAGTGCGCCCAGCACCAGCCCCTTAGCCATGGACTCCCAGTGCTTCTTCTGCGATGGCAGCATCTCAGGCACCTGTGGGGGCAGCACACAGTGGGCAAGTGTCAGGAAGTTGGCCCCAGGGCACACCCAAGACTACCCACACCTGGCATCCGAGACCTGCCTTTGCCTGCTCTGTGGCCCCCAGCAGGGTCCAGACAGGGACAGAGAGATGCTGGAGAGACCGAGAGGCAACCACCTGGAAAGAGACAGCCCCAGGGCTGCAGAGACAGTGGGTGAAGCCACTCAAACAGAGGTGGGGAATGGGGCAGGGAGAAGGTTGACATTTAAAAATTAAAATGACCAGGTAGCAGAACCAGGCCTCAGACTTTCCACTCCTTTTAAGTTTTAAGCTGGCTGATAATAAAAGAAAAAGAAGAAAAATAAGGTAACAAAGATTTGTTACCTTATTTTTAGTTATCTTGTCTTCTGATTCTTTTTCTTTTCTTTTTTATAAAAATACGTATTTTTAAAAATTCTTTGATTTTACTTTAAATTCTCCCAAATCCTGAAGTTATCTTATTGTTATACCTTTTAGGTCATCATAATGAAATAATTCTCTTTTTTATATTTTAATTTTTTTTTTTTTTTTTGAGACAGAGTCTTGCTCTGTCGCCAGGTGCCAGGCTGGAGTGCAGTGGCACGATCTTGGCTCACTGCAACCTCTGCCTCCCAGTTTCAGCAATTCTCCTGC